TAGTCTGTTACAGATCTGTGATGAGACTAGAAGATTGTTTTTTGAGGAGAGCAGGGAGAGGTGAAGATCTGCAGTTAGCTTACCTGCTTCCATGGCTGGTTTTTAAATCAAATTTCTTTTTCTTCTTGCTGTTAAGTTCCTTCTGTGTTTTGTACTTTTTTTGAGGTGGGGGGAGGGAGGGAGGCAGAGAGGGAGGGGGAAGGGAGGAGAGAAAGACATTCACTATATAGCCCTGAGACAGCCTGGGACTCATTATGTAGACCAGGTTGTCTTTGGACTCACAGAGATCCATTTGCTTTTGACTTTAGAATGCTGGGATTAAAGTTGTGTGCCACCCCACCCTACCTTGATATTGAATTTATTATCAGATATATAGACAGCAAGTACTTTCTCTTAGTCTATGTACTGTTTCTATTCTTCATGCCTTTCATCCTTTGCTATTCGGAGCATTTTAGTTTTATGTCCCATTTGTCTATTTTTGTTATCTATACTTCAATCGTGGAGTCTTCTCCTCAGATTTTCTTCAAGTAGTTTTATAGTTCCAAGTCCTACATTTTAATTTAATTATTCTTCAATGATTTTTTTCTTTATGTAATTTCAAGTTTCTTACCTGTCTTATTTTCCTTCTTGAAGAACATCTCAATATTTTTTTGAAGAGCTGATTTTCTTTCCTTTTCCTGAGGAAGTATTTCTTTAAACCTTTAAGGATAATTAGATGAATGTATTATTCTAGGCTTGGTATATTTTCCTCCTAACACTAAATATTTCGTTTTGTTCTCTTGATAGTATCATTTTCAAGGAGAAATAAACCTTTTACTTGCTTTTCCTGTGAGTAAGGCTATTTAGTGTGTGTGTGTGAGTCTGATTTGGTGGTGATGATGGTGGTTACATGCTGAATAACAGGTTGTTTCGGCCTGCTTTGTATTTTCTGAGCATCCTTGATTTTGATTAATTTCAGAATGACCCTCGCCACTATTGATTAAAAACTTTATTTTCCTTTTTTTCTCTATTCTCCTACTGTTAGTTCAATTATACTTAAACACAAAACCACAGTTCTTGACACTCTGTTCTAATTGTTCTTTTTGTTGTTGTTGTTTGTTTTTTGTTTGGTTTTTTTTTGTTTTTTTTTTTTTGGTTTTGCGAGACAGGGTTTCTCTGTGGCTTTGGAGGCTGTCCTGGAACTAGCTCTTGTAGACAGGCTGGGCTTGAAATCACAGAGATCCGCCTGCCTCTGTCTCCCAAGTGCTGGGATTAAAGATGTGCGTCACCACTGCCCGGCTAATTGTTTTCTTATAGTTCCAGAAGTTGACTGTTTTGAGCCTACTCATGACCTCATTGATGACATTCTTTTTTTTTTAAGATCTATTTATTTGTTTATGCATACAAGTGCTTTATCTTCATGTACCACCTTTATGCCAGAAGAGGGCATCAGATCCCACTATAGATGGTTGTAAGCTACCATGTGGTTGCTAGGAATTGAACTCAGGTCCTCTGGAAATGCAGCCAGTGCTCTTGACCTGTGAGCCATCTCTCCAACACCATTGATGGCATTCTTAATTTACATTTTGATTTCTCCTATTTCCTTTAGACATTTATGCCTTTCTGTCTGCATATATCTTTTTTCAGTGTTTTTTTCAACAATATATTCTTTATACTACATGAAGTCTATCTTTAAAATAATCTTATAAGTCAAAAGTACATTATTGTTGAGTGTTGAGTTTATTCATCTTATTTGATAAAATTTGATGCCTATTGATTCCCCTCCTTTCAGCCCCTGAATCCACCATTGTACTCTTGATTCTGTGAATTTGGTTCTTTGAGATAAATTATGCTTATCATTAATGTGACTCATTTGTTTTAGTATAATGTCTTCAAATTTTATCTGTGTTACATATTGCAGAATTTCCTATTCCATTGGGTGTGAAATCATACTTTTAAAACCCATGCTTCTACAGATGGGTATTTATTGACTATTGTGAACACTACTGCAGTGAGAATAGAATGCCAATATCTTTTCAACTAAAAGAAAGTATTCCTTAGCATAGGTTAAAAATGTAAATCCATATGTATTAAAGTTATGTCTTGTAAACAATCATTTATTTTCATCAGTAATATTAAATAAAATGTAGAGTGAAAAGACAGAATAGAAGCTGAGCATTATTACGTGTATTGATCATTAGATTGCTGACACAAATGTTAAATATCAGTTTTAAAATATCCTATCCAATATGGTGAGCCAGCATGATAACTATGGTTATAGTCAAATTGTATTCTGTACTTAGTCGGATCATTTCATTCAGTCCTCAACACTGTGTGTTACAGTGTTGTAACGATGCACATTTCTTTTTCTTTTTTGTTTTGTATCCAAGACAGGGTTTCTCTGTAGAGCCTTGGCTGTCGTGGAACTCACTCTGTAGACCAGGCTGTCCTCAAATTCTGAGATCCGTCTGCCTCTGCCACCTGAGTGCTAGGATTAAAGGCATGAGCCACTACCCCCTGGGTTTTTTTTGTTGTTGTTTTTTAAATGATTTATCTATTTTTATTTTATGTGCATTGGTGTTTTGGCTGCATGTATGTGTGTGTGTGTCAGATTCCCCGGAACTGAAATTACAAACAGTTGTGAGCTACTACATGGGTGCTGAGACTTGAATCTGAGTTCTCTAGAAGAACAGCCAGTGCTTTTAACCATTGAGCCATCATTTCAATCCTTTATTCATATTTTCTTAATAAAACCTGAGTCATAACAAAAAGTGAAACAAACCAAAAAAAAAAAAACTCCCAAAAATGTGAGTCATTAAAAAATATAATAACTTCACCAAGGCTATATATTTTATTTTGTAATATACCTGGAATATAATGTTTGTGTTCTAATTTTGGAGTCATTAAAGTGCTGTGCTTGGTCTACTGAGTTACACTTTTCATTTGATACCATGAAGTTTTTTACTTCTATGGAGATAGGACATGTTAAACAGATGTTTGAGGGAAAAGAGAGGCAGTACTAAGAGGAAGGTATACCTACATGGCTTCTTCTCAAGAAGGCTGTGGGTAGTAGCCAGAGAACAAAAGTACTGCAGCACAGTGATATTTCCCAAAAGTGTTTTGTATGTTTTCAAAGAAATAGATGTTAACTGTATTCATTGGAGTGGTATCATTGTTTGGAGAATCAACAATAAAAAATAAGTCATCTTTCTAGGAGCAATAAAAATTATATATAGTTATGAGCCAGGGGAAAGTTTGCAAAGTTGGTAAGTCACATATTCCTCAAGAGCAAAAGGCCTGTCCTCAGAGAACACGACCATGCCCTAGAGTATCTGAGCCAGGTGGACTTAACACCATCACAGTTTTAAGTGGCCACAGATAGAATAAACCTAGAGATGCTTTCTTAAATCATAAATACAGATGAGTACTTAGTGATGGTGGCTCCTTAAAATCCTTTACACTTTTCACTTCTTATGCTATTTCCAAGATTTTACTCTTGCATCAGTTATGGTAAAAGGACTTTGCAAAGTTAAAGAATATGTCATTTTACTCTGTATTTTAATCACCTGGATTGTCTTTAGTGATATACACAGTTCATTGGCATATTAACTGAGGTTATTTGGAGCTAATTATATAAATAATTAAAAACCTAAAACATTTATGTGTTTATTGGACATATAAGTACATTTCTGATAATCACTGCTTAATATTTGCACTGTTGATAAGTATTATTTTCAACATTTCTTCAGGCCTCTCTACTGGTCATTTTGCGTGGGCATTTCATTCCGTAGCAGAAGAAGAATTGCTGAATATGTTGCCAGCCATGCAGAAAGATGATCCTACTTGGTCTGAACTGAGAGCAATGGGTGTGGGCTGGTGGGTTCGCAATTCTCGAATCTTGCGCAAATGCATAGAAAAAGTAAGTTTTTATTGGGGTATAAATATAAAATAGTATATTTTGATTATTTGTTTAATAGCATCCTGTCCCCTCTGATAATAGATATTCCATTTTGTTTTAGTAACAGCATCATAATTTATATTTAATGATCTCAGTACTTTGCTCATTCTGGCCTTGAATGTGCAGTTCTTCTGTCTCAAACTCTTGAGTTATTGTGATTCTAGGCCTCTGCCTCTAGGCCTATCTATGTTTAACCTCTAGTGAACACATTTATTTACTAGTGTACTTCTGAATTTCTGAAGTATTTTTTGAGAAAATTACAATAGTTTAGGAGGATTTCTATAGCCCTGACACCCCATCTGTGTATACTCTGCTACTGTAAATGCTTCTGTTACTAGTTATGTATATATATATTGCTTATTAATGCTTGTTTATGTGCTTATTTTTATTTCAATTTTAACATAGAAATATCATGTACTGATCTTTTATATAAGTACACTCCTAAGCTATTTTTGTAAAAGATTGACGACTATTTTCCAATTGTAGGTAGCCAAAGCAGCCTTTCATAGGAATAATGATCCTTTAGATGCTGCAATTTTCTACCTTGCAATGAAAAAAAAGGCTGTGATTTGGGGATTATATCGGTAAGTAAAAGACTGCTTCAGAGCTAAAAGTCATTTTTCATTTTCATTATGCATTCAGAGTGAATGCATAAAGTAAAACATGTTTTTATTGAATATGTTCTTAGTTGCTGTTTGGGTTAAAGGAGATTCTTGATAGGGAAAAAGATTACTTGTGTTCCGCGTTAGAAGAAACCAGATGATGTCACTTTAGTTTGTTTTAGCATTTATTAGTCTAAAAACAAGTTTGGTTCTTTGTTTTCTTATTCTAAGAACATCACCAAGAAGCAGGGAGGAAAGAAGTGGAGTAGAAAACAAATTTGTCAAGATGAGTTTGCATCAGCGTTGGGGAGGAGGAGAAGATAGTGGAGTCTGGGATAAGCATTTGTCCTCTGTTATTAAAGGGCATGGGTCAGTGTGTCCCTGAAACTGTTACTCTTCTAGGTGCTGTCGTCTCTTTCCTCTCACTTGTCAACAGCACCTAGTCTCCAAAATTACTATTCGTTGGAGGTTCTGTTTCAGAATGGCAACCTCTGGGGGAAATCTTAGTATAAATATATGAGTTTTCTAAAAATCTAAGGTTTTTCAGGATTGTTTTCTATCAGATTCCATTGATTTTTGATTACCAAAAATGTAATCAAATGTAATCAAAATGTAATCAGTGTGGACTGAAGTTTTCTGTCCCACCTGGTCCTGCAGCCGTTTAGTCCCAAATAAACACATTGAGGCTTTTATTAATTATAAACTGTTTGGCTCAGGCTTTTCTTATCATCTAGCTCTCTCTTAATTATTAACACATAACTACTAATCTGTGTATTTCCACATGGCCTTATCTTACCAGAGAATGCCCAGGCGACCTACCTTCCCTGGTAGCTACATGGTGTCTCTCTCTGCCAGCTGCTCCCTGACTTTCCTTTTCCCAGAATTCTCCTAGTCTGGTAGCCCTGCCTATACTTCCTGCCTGGCTATTGGCCAATCAACATTTATTCATCAACCAATAAGAGAAACACATATTCACAGCATGCAGAGGGATATCTCCCTTCAATCATGTTTCGAAATGGATAAAGCAATATGGTTGATGAGGTTTTAATTTATTACTAGCATAAATGTTTATGTGTAAATTATCTTAATGTAACTATGTATTAGTAAAATTATTCTGCATGAATTTAAAGGTGACTTTTTTTCTGAGTGTTTCTAGTTCAGTGTGCACTTTGCAGTTTGTAAGAGAATTTTTTTAAATAACTTGTGAGATTTATGTATAAAAGTAAATGCTTACCTAATCTTATTTTTTAATGATTTATAAACTGGCAAATGTTTTGTTTTCATTGTTATAACTTTTTTTGTAACTGAATCTTGTTCTGTAGTGCAGACTGACTTCAAATTATCCATCTTACTCCTTGAAAGTCCTAACTTTGAAATCCTAACTGTAAAAGGTTGATTCCAAAGTAGTATTTTAAAATTTTCATAAATTTTGTTCCTATATAGAGCTCAAAAAGACACCAAAATGACACAGTTTTTTGGACACAATTTTGAGGAAGAGAGGTGGCGTAAAGCAGCTTTGAAAAATGCCTTTTCTTTATTAGGCAAGCAGCGGTTTGAACATTCAGCAGCTTTTTTTCTTCTAGGTGGTTGCCTCAGAGATGCAATTGAGGTAAGTAATTGAACTTTCTTTGATTTGGGTTTTTTTTTTTTTTTTTTTTTTTTTTTTTTTTGGTTTTTCGAGACAGGGTTTCTCTGTGTAGCTTTGGAGACTTTCCTGGAACTTGCTCAGTAGACCAGGCTGGTCTGGAACTCACAGAGATCGGCCTCTGTCTGCTTGCTGAGTGCTGGGATTGAAGGCATGTGCCACCACCGCCCAGCTGAACTTTGTTTTTAACTAATGTTATCGTTTCTTTAAGCAATTCTTTTAAATCTTAATTTTTTCATTTTAATTTAACTAGTAGAAATAATACAAGGCTAAGTACCTAAACTAACTGATGATATTTCACAGTAGCTTTTACACTTTTATAATTTAGCTGGAGTGATGTTTTACAGAAGATAAAGCAAGTTTTGTAAAATTAATAATTCATGATTGCACACTGAAGTGTGTTTGGCTCTTTTGCTTAATGGACTTAAAAAAGTATCTTTTTAATTTTAGAATTCTAGTCTGCTCAAGTGAATTGAGAAGAGTTGAGATTTAAGAGTAAAAATTATAGGTTATACTGGCTAGAGTTATCCATTTCCTCAAGTCAAATTATTTATAAATACATGCTTATTAACAACTAATAGATTTGCAGATGTTATAAATGTTCATTTACTAAAGTAGGCAATATGCATGCCATTATTGCATTTATTGCTTGTAAAATTTAGAGATTAATAAATCCCTGTACATTTATGGTAAATAGATTATGTTTCTCTTAAAAGCTGACTTTGTTTATTTATAAACAATATTTTTAAGGTGTGTCTTGAGAAACTGAATGACATTCAGTTGGCTCTTGTAATAGCAAGACTCTTTGAGTCTGAATTTGATAAGTCTGCAACATACAAATCTATTTTACGAAAAAAAGTTTTGGGAATTGGCTCTTCAGTCAATGAACTCAGTTCATCGAACATAAATGCACATCGTGACCCCTTTCTTCGGAGTATAGCACATTGGATTTTAGAAGATTATAGTGCTGCTTTGGAAACATTAATAAAGCAACCATTTACAGAAGATGAAGGTAAGTTGGTGCTTCCTAGATTCAAATAAAATGTTGCTAGTGTTTTCTCAGAATGTAGTGCACTGTGGTTTAATGTAATAATGAATATTAAATTTTTGATCTTTATGACTAAATGGGGTCTGTTATTTCAGAAAGATAAACCATTTAAAGTAGAGAACTAGATTTTCTCTTTTTATGCAATAAATATATTGAACATAAATATTAACAGCAGTTGATTTTAAAAACTTTGGAGAAATGGTAAAAACCCAATTTTTAATATTAGGTTGAGTTTTCAGCTAATCAGTTTTATAATTCTTACAGGAAAAAATATATTCAGTGTAAAGAAAGCTGACTTAAGGGATGTGATAGGACAACTATAAACTAACCAAATCCTTGACTGTTGTTTTCTTGGGATCAGTAGCATATAGATTATTTTAAATGTATCTTTTAGAACTCAATTTCTGGTTTTCTTTCTAGATTTTTTTTTTTTTGTGTGTGTGTGTGTGTGTGTTATTAATGCAAGATCACATTCCTAGACCCATTTAAATCAAGATTCTTCTGAAAGACAAATGATAATGCTGGCTTAATTGATAATACCAGTGTGATAGGACTACATGCAGAGAGAAATATTTGAATATGGGATAATTTTAGTGTGACTACACAGGAGTAAATTTTATATGGCATGTCAAAGATTAAGAAATTAAGGGTAACTACTGGAGTTTTAGCTTGACCAATAGTGAATGATATGATGGAGCATTGATTAGATCAAGAATCTTTCTTTAAGTAGATGACCTTTGGGCAAAGAACTGGTTGAAATATGCAAGTGGATAAAGGCTGGTATGCACCAAGGGCATAAATAAGAAACCCTCAGAGTAAAAGTGTGTGTATTTCAATAGAAATGAAATGGGGAATTTAGGAAAGAGGAGATAGAGATGTGCAAATTAACAGCATGTAAATGGTGTTTAAGATTGTAGGACTTGTATGAGTTTAACTCCTCAGGGGGTTCGGATAGAACATAGTATTTATGGTCCGAAAAGACATCTTACTGTAGAAGTGTATCCAGGGAATCGAGAGAAAAGAGCTAAAGATTCTATTTAAAGGTATTGCTTCAATTTAAAATACAGTTGTAAAGTGTGTTCTTGTCTGTTCAGTGACATGGATTAGTGTGGTCTATTATAATTTATCCAAAGACCTGGTCAAGTTTCCTCAGAGAGAAAGGGGATTTTCACACAGTCGTGAATTCTCAGTTCACATCTTAAGCTTCTCTTGACTTACAAAGTGAATTTTCTTTCAGATCAAGTCATGATGTCAGCCTGTAATCCTATGGTTTTTAATTTCTACAATTATCTAAGAACACATCCACTTTTGCTAAGACGTCATTTTGGATCATCTGACACATTTTCAAAGCAAATGGCTTTAACAGGAAAAAGTGGACTGGCAGGAACAATTAATCTAAGTGAAAGAAGATTATTTTTTACTACTGCCAGTGCTCACCTAAAATCTGGCTGCCCCATGTTGGCTTTGGAAGTATTGTCAAAAATGCCCAAAGTTATCAAGAAAACAAAACACTTTTGTAGAGCATCTAGTTTTTATACTAGTAAAGATTCTTCTCCATTACAATCGGATACAAGAGAAGATAAGTCTTCTGCTGTTGACTGGTCACAGTCAGTGATGAATGGTTTTGAATCTTCTTCAGAGGGTTCCTCAGAGAGACAGTCAAACTCCACCTTTTCTTTTGATTGGAGCCAACCAAGTATGGTATTTCAGGATGACTCTTTGGAGTTGAAATGGGATAGTGATAATGATGAAGAAAATGAAGATCCTCCTATTTCAATGAAAGAAATAAAACCTTTGCCAAGAAAAACAGATAAAAAATTAGACGAATTAAATAGTTACACTGACTCTTTAAGCACACTAGATGAAGGTGATATTTTAAATCCATCAGAAGATATAATTGCTGTTCAACTAAAATTTAGAGCATGTTTAAAGATTCTCACAGTGGAACTTCGTACTTTATCTACTGGCTATGAAATAGATGGTGGGAAATTGCGTTACCAACTCTACCACTGGCTTGAAAAAGAGGTGGTAGCTCTTCAGAGGACTTGTGACTTTTGCTCAGATGCAGAACAGCTGCAGACCACATTTACTCAAAATACAGGGGAATCTGGATTAAGTGAGGATATTGATCATTTGCATCACCAAACAAAAGTGAAACAACAGAGAGAAAGTTTCCAGGAAAAAAGACAGTGGCTCTTGAAGTATCAGTCACTCTTGAGAATGTTTCTTAGTTACTGCGTACTTCATGGCTCTCATGGTGGGGGTCTTGCATCTGTGAGAATGGAATTAATTTTACTTTTACAAGAAT